TATAATCATAAAAACTTGGCTGAAAGGAGCAGCAGCACTAAAGGTAAACGATTTCTCAATGTCTTTCATATACATATATATATATCTATATATATTTGTATGTCTATATGTGTATGGACAGTCCGAGCCCTCGTTCAAAACTCCAACCCCTTTTTGGGTAGAGCACAGCACCGAAAAGAACAACAACAACAAGAACAACAACAACACTGCTGAGGACAACATTGAAGCCAGGGCAAAAAAAAAAAAGCCAAAAAGAAAAGACAAAGACGATCTCCGTTGGCCGATCGAGAAACTTGTTTAGCACGCGTTACAGCGGCTGCCTGTGTTGCTTTTCAAATTATTTGCCTTCGGTCACTCTTCACAATGCTCCCCCTCTCCCCTGCCCCCACCCCACCCCCTCGCACTCTATCCCTGTACGCCCACTTGCTCCAGCGCACTTCTTATTTGCTTATGCCACATGTAAAAAAAAAAAAAAAATTTAAAAAAAAAGGCCAGCAACAAGCAAAAATTTTCTCGTTTTACTCGTAATCCGTTCAGCTAAACGTTGATCACACAGCCTCTGCCACTGCCTCTGCCTCTGCCTCTGCCACTGCCACTGCCTCTGCCACCGCCTCTGCCTGTGCTGCCCCTCGGCTACCCCCGGCTGTTCCCTCCGCTGGCCACCCCTCTGTTGCCACCTTTTCCGTTAGCTGAAGAGTGTGCTCGCTGCGTGGGCTCATTCTGGAATTTCTACACTCATTCTTGATTGTTTCGTTTAGTTATGTTTAACGCTCTGGGCCATATGTGTTGCATTCCATCCGAATTGGGTTCGCTTCAGAGGTTGGAAAAAAAACAAAAACAAAAATGAAAACGAAAAAAACAAAAAAGAAAAAAGTGGAAAAATACAAATAAAAATAACCAAAAAACCAAAAACGGGAAAAAATCAAACCAAGCCAAAAACTGACAAACTGAGAGTCGTGGTATCTGCTGAAGCTGTGGATGTAGCTGAAGCCGAGCCCGAAGAGCAGATAATAAATTTGAATTTCAATAAATTACTTTGTTGCTACAAGACAGGCGGTTAGGAATCCTCTTCACAATATCTTTCGATAAGTTGAATGGTGCACGTATTGCATACCCTGCTTAAAGTAATGATACGAAGGGTTTAATAGTGCTGCGAAAAATAATACATTTGATGTTGCCACATAAAAATATACACAAGTTTTAAAAGCAGCTTTTGCACTTTTAAAGATGTTAACTAAATATACTTATTAATTCATTAGGTTATGTCAACGAAATTCGAGTTATCTTTAATCATAAAATTATTCCTGTTATTTATTGATATCTATAAGCAATTAAAAAGGATTTTAATAAGAAGACTATAAGTGGTATAACTCAACCAATTACAGGGTATCTGCCTGTCGTACTACATCAGCGCATTTTGACTTGTTCTGCTTGTTTTTGTTGAGTTGCGTCTGCATCGCTGGAATTTCATTCAAAATTTTTTTGGCTTGACCAATTTCTTTTTAGCATTGTCGTCGTCGTCGTCGCTTTTTCTTGAATTTTTTTTATTATTATTGTTAAGGCCACATTGTTGACCAAGGCTGTCAGCTCTCAGCTTGTAGGGGCACTGATGAAGCGATCAGGCCTTGACATTGAGGAGCATCCAAACAAGCAACGGCGAGGAATTAGGAATAGATGTCTTCTCTTTCTTTTTTTTCTTGTTTGATGCGAGGAGAAACTGATTATTAACCGTAGAAGATCGATCTTCAAGGGCATCAAAAAACACACATTTTGGTTGAACTTTCATTGGTATGATTTGGGAGACCTCCTAAAGCCAACCATCATCATTTTCATAATCACAAAAAAGACAAACTTTAATGATACCAACTAGTTGGCAAGTCAGTTGTCAGATCGCAGCTCAGGTCTCATCAGCATAAGTAATCACCCAAAATTTCCAGCTTGACACAGCTTGACATCTGTTAAACACATAAGTATACATATGTTTATATATATATTTAAATATATATATATATATATAAATATATATGTAAATAAAGTGACAAGCGCCTAAGGAGAGGCCAACACACGATGATCAGCATGATGATGAAGAATTAATTCATGAAGATTCCGTCAAAAGAAATTTAGAGCCCATTCTGTGTCTCTCCATCTCCGTCTCTGTCTACATCTCTCTATCACTGTCACACTGTCACATGGCAACCAGTTATGGGCAAACGTAGTAGTTTACTAGGCGACTAAAAAAAAATAAAAAAAATTAAATCAACTGACAAAGCTAACAAACAACCTTCGTCATTAGCCTTAGCCAAACTATGGCATGTCAACCAAAATTAGCATTTTTTGTCGGGCCAACTTTAGCGGGACGACGATGGAGTCGACGACGCCGACGACGCCGACGGAGACGCGTTGTCTAAAAATTGGAAGCCCAGCTAAAGCCAAGCAAGCATTAAACACCACGTTTCACGCTTTAGCGTCTCAGTCGAGTTCAGTTCAGTTGCTCGAAAACTGTGCGTAGGTAAGAACACAGAGTCGCTGTTGAGGAACCACACACATATAATATATATATAATATATATATATATATATATGTATATATATGTGTGTGTGTATTCAGAACAGCCTACGCATATTTTGCAATTTCGTTTGTGACGCCCACGCATTTGAATTAGCTTAGAAATAACAAAACCAACAACAACAACAGCAGCAACAACAACAACAGCAGCAACAACGACGACGACAACAGCAACCCACAAAACTCATATTATAGTTGTATTCACATTATTTACTATACTCAAACATGCTTTGCGAGTGGTTGCTTCTAAGCTGTCTATGCTTAGATTTTGTGTGTGTTTTTTTGTTGTTTGTATTTTGCTGTATTTTTACAACATTTACCACTAGACATATTTGCAGTCATATTCTTTTTTGCTTCTGACCGACTTAAACTGTTAAATGTCAACGATATTCATTGCACACGCCCATCATACATCAAGTGATGGCTAAATCTCTATTATTATTGTAGGCGATACCCTTACCCAACAGCAATACGCAAATACTTTTAACCCTAGGCCATATTATGGAAAGAACGAAACTAAAATTGTATATATATATATATAGATGTGTGTGTGTGTGTGCATGTATTTACTGGCGTAAAGCCACGCCGGAAATGGTGTGTCCGTGAGCAGCAATTGAGTATGGAGATCAGCATGGTTGCAAGCCGATTCTTACACTGCAAATCATTTGGCATTACTACTGCATTTATGGGCATAGATATCCGACTTATATTCACTTGAATTTTAATTTCTCTGTTCAAGTTTGGTGAGTCGCTTGTTGATTTGACTCCAATATAAAAATGTGACATATCTTTAATCTTATACAAATATTATTGTATTATTATTTTCTTAATTCTAAGTATAAAAATTAAAATGGCAGGCAACCTCTGCTACTTGTTGGCTTCAGTTTTAATCATAGTGTTTTCTTTCAAGATAAAAGAGAATATAAAAAAGTATTCAATTTTTAGGTCATCTTTTAGATGTGCACTCTAAAAATGCAGTAAACGGAATCTCTAGAAAATATAACTTCAACTCAAAAATAATTGATCTAAAATGATGGAGCAGGATAACAAGGCTTCCAAGGCCATATATATATGTACTTATAGAAATAAAACAGATGAAATCTCTTCAGTTGCTTTACACCTTTAATCAAGAGTTCTTAAGTAGTGATTTTACTAAGATATAGCGTATATATAGATGGTATAGACATCTGTTTAAGCATAGCTTTCGAAATGCGAATAGTTTACTGTAAACATAGACATACACATACACATAGATACATAGATAGCATATATAACTGCAATTTATGACATCTGCCACACCCACCACACATCAGTATATGCAACATAGCCAGCTGCATAGCGAGCGGCAAATGTGGTTCACAACGCCCATGTGAGTGGTGCGAGGAGTAAAAGCGCTGCCAAAATTCAGTTTAATCACCTCAAGACACGGCCCATATGGTGCCACATGACAAGCGGTGCCACCAACACAGCAACACACAATAACACACACATGCTACATGACTCCAGCAAATAGCCCACACATATCCATATATCTATGCACAATTAGAGAGTAAAACTGAATGGTGAGCCGAGAAAGGCGAGTGGTGGGCAAGGGCGGAGCCGGTGCCGGTGCCGGTACCGATGCCGATACATTGATCAAGCGATGCGTCGACTGCAGATTTAATTATCAAGCAGAGCAGCGCAGCGCCAGCATATTTTCACCCGCCTAGCAACAACAACAGCTGCAGTGAAATTAAAAAACTTACCAGCTTTTGAATATGGTTTTCGCTTCGACTTCGAGTTTGAGTTTGAGTTCGACTTTGACTTGGGCATGGGCGTCGGACGTTGGACGCCAACGGAGACAGCGTCGACAGCAGCGACGCGTTGACGCCAACGTTGAATACAATTTCATTCACAAAAATTCACTAAAAAAAACGAGCTTTGTAAAAGGCAACGGACACACACAAGTCACGCATGCGCCGCACGAACGGCGATAAACGGGAAAACTGAAGTCTACTCCAAGCTACATTATAATTATGAATATACATTATACCCCTTCCCTTGCCCCACAGACATATCCTATAACTAAGACTTTACTCTGGCTAGTTTCTCGTTCCTAGAAGTGCCCCCTAAAAACCTTTTCAGAGCCATAACCCTGCCAGAACTGAACTGATTTTCAAAAATCAATGATTTCAGCTCTACTTTTTTAAAGTTTAAATCTTTTTTAAAAGTTATTTCAAAAGCTTGACCTTTTGATCATATAAAACTATATTTAAAGTTGATAACGCGATTCTCGCGGGTCAAAAATGTCCACAATCATAACTTTTTCGAAAGGGATCAGATAGTAAACGATGGTTTTTTGATAATGGTTCGACTTGTACATGAATACTACATTTTAAAAAGCCAAATTCATGTTAAATGATGTCCTCAAACTAGGACTTTTTGACAAGTTAAACTCTGGTAATCATTTAATTTTATTCGCCTTTTTAAAACTATTTTGTCTCGGGTGAGTATCTTAGCCCACAGCTTCAATAAGTTGTCGGCGCAAATGTTGACGAATTATATTGAACTCTGGCAGCGCCGACAGATTGAATTCCTCACCGGAATCCAAGCGATGATCATACAGCTCCTCACCGTAGATATTGTGCCAGTCTGTAGATAGAAATCAAATGTGAATGGGGCATGTATATTATCAATAGTTGGGATATGTAATTGCTCACCTTGACTAAAGTTGTTGGCATGAAATCGGACCCAGAGCGTATAGCGATATAGATTTGTGCGGAGACTATAGCCCATGATCTTGATATTCCTCAGCTTGGGCTTGTCGCTGTTGGGATGCTTTGTGGGCAGCATGCCTGGACGCGGATACTGGCTCAGTGCCACGTGCTCCTCCCCTGCAACAAACTCAGATTAAGATAAGCTAATGCACCGAAGGATCTCTGCTCACCCAAATCCGTGCCCTGCAGCTGCGGATACAAACTCTTTCCCTCGGAGCAGGTCAACTGTTGCAGTTCACTGTTGCTTCTATTACAAGTGGGAATCGGTGGCAGATGTGCGAGATCCACAAGCGTAGGAAACACATCTAGCAGCTCCGTGATGCTGTGCATCTGACGTGGCTGCTCCAGTCGAAATTCCGGACTGCGGATGATGAGAGGCACCCGTAGAGCCACCTCAAAGTTGCTGTACTTGGCCCACTCGGCGTGCTCGCCCAGTGACCAGCCATGATCGCCCAGCACCGCAACCACTGTGCGCTCCAGATCCAAATGGGCCATCAGCTTGCCAAAGAGATCATCAACATAGGCCACCGAGGCGTAGTAGGCCTGTCGAATCTGTGCCGCCTGATGCCCCGAAATGGGTCCATATGGAAACGATATGTTTCTGTGCTTGAAGTCGTCCCGCGACCGCACATCTGTGTACGGATTCCAGGCGACATCCGGCATGCCCGGTGGCTTCACTGCATCCGCCGTATAGTTGTAGAAGTGAGTGAGCGGAAAACGGTCGAGAAATTGTCGAGGAAAGCGGAAATTAATGTGCGGCTTGTGAAAACCCACGGCCAGAAAATAAGGCTGGCGATTTTTCTTCCGTGAATCCAGAAAACGCAATGCCTCCGCCACGGATTCAATATCCGGCAGTGTCTTATACGGCTGTGTTTGCAAATGCACCGGACAAATGAGATAATTCTTGCGCAGCACTCCTCCACTGTGATCCGGACAGACGGGTGAGTTCATATACTGTTCCGTGCGGGGATGAAATGTCGGAGCTGACCAACTCAGGGGAAAGTCATCGGTATTGTTGGACGATAGACCGGGATGGAAGACCTTGCCGCAGCTATACGTGTAGTAGCCCTGCTCCTTGAAGTATTGTGGCAGTGTGGTAAAGTTACCCACAAAACTCCGCCAGTAACTATAAAAATCGTACAGATGCAAAGTATCCGGCCGTCGTCCGGTCAACAGTGAGTTCCGGCTAGGTGCGCACAGCGCTTGCTAATGAAAAATAGTGGAGTATAGTTACCCAGGCAGTCATCCCAATGATACTTACCTGACTGTAGGCGCGCATGAAGATGCTGCTGCCCTGGGCAAACTCATCCAGATGTGGCGTTCGAGCCCGACTATCGCCATAAGCACCCAGAGCCGGTCGCAGATCATCAAAGATGACCATCACCACATTGTAGTGGGCAAAAACGGCAGCCAGTCCAATCCACAGCAGCAGCAGCAGGAGCAGCAGTGGTGGTGCTGAGATATAGGACATTTCCGAGCGAGCGACTTTTGCGACTGCAGTCTGACAAGATGCCCATACGGCGGATGTGAAATGCCGGTCCCACAATGGCTTATAAAATATATAAAGGAGCATATCAGCTTGCAGGTGGTGTTTGTCAGAAACTCTAGATCGCAACGGAAATTGGGAGTGCGTCAGATTCAAATAGAAATTGAAACCCAAATTCTGGTTCCTCACTGATAGCTTCTGTTGATTCTACTTAAAAAATTAACTCTTAGCTTAAGTGTGCAAATAGACCTACAATTTGAATTTATTTACAGGGTGTGTGAAAGTCGTGCATGTTGGATAAGCTGAATTTTGTCACTTGTTTACGTTTCACAAAGAGCAAAATATAAAAAGAGGCAGCCAAGCAAATACATGCGGCAAGCGGCGTAATTCAAAACCGCCCCCATTATATTTCAATAAAATTGAACGGAAGCGGGCCTCGTCCACAACAACAAAAACAACAGCAAAAACATACAAACAACAACGGCGATATCACAAATGGAATGTAATAATAAATGTTTAGGGCGAAGCAACCAGAGTAGCGTCACAAGAGAGCCCTAAGACATCGTCGTTAAATAGTGCACATAATACATATACATATAGTTTTAATGATTAACAAGCTACACGCTACCATAAATTTGTCGTGATTTTTACAAAAAAATTAACAGTCGAATGAGTTTTGAGGGAATTTGCACAGATCATATAGGTCATTATCATAATACAGCTTAAAATGTCGCTCCGCAATTGCTGCAGCGCTTCTCACGCATCGCCAGGCAGCACAGGATGCCAAGGGGAAAAAAGAATATTGCACAGCACAGGCCCAAGGGGGAGAAAGTATCTTCCAGATATCCAATGCGGCACGATGGACACGCGTTAATCAGAAAAATCTGTGCTGGCTGCGATGGGTGCACCACAATGCTAACTGGCGTTGTCTCGAAAGCTCCATAACTGGCCATATTGTTTGGTGCCGTCGGTGCACCATGATGGACGCCAGTGATTAGTCGCGTGTCTGCAAATAAGTTCTTTATTATACATTCTTTAAATAATTGTTTGTCACTCACCTGGCGCTGAGGGCATCGTGGCTTGCATGACTTCCTCGTAGCTCGGTGGCTCGGCGTCTTTTGATGTGTGCGCGGTCATAGTTGGAGAAAACAAGAAAACACCACACAACTGTTTATCTTTTGTGCAATGACTCACTATGTGTTTATTTTTAATTTGGTATTGTTATAATGTTGTTTTTATGGAGCCCGTTTACACCTGCTCTTTGTTTGCATTGCTTCTACCAGCCTATCGATGAATAATCAGCTGTTTGCTCTGTGATCGAATAAGTCGCATCGGAGAGCGCGTATTGATTCAAAAGTAACTACAGCATTTCCCATGGTGATTAAATAAGTTTGCTGTCAAGAGCTATTTTGAGGTAGCCGTGCGATAGATGCAGTTAGACGATTTATAGTGATGAGTGACGAGTGATGTCTCATAGTATTTGGCGGGAATTCAAATCATTGTTGCAATTAACCGTATTTGTATTAAATTAATAATAATGAAACAGATTTCGTGTTGCAAATTGAGCAGTGTCATTTGCTTTAGACATTCTTATGCACTCTCAGCAACAAAAATAAAACTTACAAATTAGCAAAATGGCAATTGTGGATGAAAAACTGAAAAACTACTGCATACATTTTCTTAATAATACAATTTCAATTCAAATGAATTGAAGAAGAAAGGACAATTTATATCAATATCGACCCATTACTGCTAGTTTTACAAAGCACAATTTATGCAGAGAACATTTTACGCATTTTTGTCAACTAATTTTAATTCATAATTTAAAATTCCAATTTTAGTGGCAACTGCACTCGATAAATTTCGCTTGAAATGTATCAACGACATCGATTATACGCGGAAAGCAACGCTGCATAGCGCATATTAGCATACATATAGCCGCACTGCTCTAACGCCATTGGTCTCTTGTATCTGTTGACGCAAAGTCGGTGCAGAAGGGTTTTTAGATTAAATTGATGAATAGATGAGGTGAAAAATATGCAATTAGTGTTCGAAGAGTGCACACAAAACTCCTGCATGTACCCAGCACATAAAGTGCAAAAAGTGAGTGTTTTATACTACGTTTCTTTGCACACTTTTGTTTTGCACAATTCGGTTTTGCTAAATCGATTGGCATTTTTTTTCTCTATGTCTATTTCCGCTGCTCCGCTTGTCGTCTCATTCACGCTCTCTTGAATGAACGAAAAGAAAAGGGAATAGAGAAGCCGACGACAAGCAGCAGAATTTGTAGTACTACAAAACCAACAAGAACAGCAGCTAAAGTGGCCGGGTGACACCTCGCGTAAATTGCAACAAACGACGAGGAGAAGCGCAGCGCAAATTGCTCATGCGCGATATGGCCGACTTAGATGCAGTACATCTCGGCTTGGACGAGAACGAGGCGGACATTGCCGAGGAGCTGCAGGACTTTGATTCGTTTGACACACGCAGTGAAGCTTCTAAATCCCGAGCTGGCTCCATGGCCTCCGATTCGGAGCCGAGCATTAGTTCGGTGAGCACGGCTCCCTCGTCCACCAGGAGCAGCAGCAAACGTGCCAGTAAATCCAAAAGTGGCAGCAATAACAAATCCGTCAAAGATTCCTCGTCTTCTGGCAAATCAACGAATGCGAATACAGCTAAAGCCAGCACAAGCAAGGGCAGCAGCAGCAGCAAATCTTCGAAGAAGCCTTCAAAGCGTTCCGCTTCGCCCGGCGATCTCAATGGCAAGAAGAAAAAGTCCAGCCACAGCAGCAGCGGCAGCGAATCCTCAAAGTCCAAGTCGAAAGCGCTCGACGCAGATGACAAGTCCAACTGCAAGTCGCAGGATGGCCAGGAGCCCGAGACGAGCAACAAAAAGTCGCGCGAAAGAAGCAAGAAAAACCACAACAGCAGCAGCAGCAGTAACAATAACAGCGCCAGCACTTCAGCAGCAGCTGCTGCCGCTGCTCTCGCGGATACGGGCAACAAGAGCGATCTGAGCGATGCGGAGGATGAGAAGCCTAAACTGCTGCCCGTCTTGGAGTCGGACAGTGAGTCCTCTGATTCGGATTCGGGTACACAGCACAAACGCAATGGCAGCACTCGCGGCAAGGCGGCGGCGTCCTTAGCGCAAAACAGCTCAAAGGACTCCACGCCCGAGAAGGAAGCCCAGAAATCCTATGACTATATGACGAAGCTAAACTATCTGTTCCGCGACACACGATTCTTTCTGATCAAGTCCAACAACATTGACAATGTGCAGCTGTCCAAGAACAAGAACGTTTGGGCCACTCTGCCCCAGAACGATGCCAATCTGACGCAGGCCTTCAAGGAAGCACGCAATGTCCTGCTCATCTTCTCCGTTAACGAGAGCGGTAATCTATTTATCCCCATTTATATATATTATAACTTGGGGCTTATATTTATTCAGAGCTTTGTATTTAATACAGAATATATGTCCGCTTCATGCGACTTATACTACGCGATTCAAGCGACCAAAAGCGACTGACTCTTACTTCATGAAATTGGCTTAAACATACCATTGAAGAAGGTCTTGATCATAAGGAACTTACAATTACCGTTGCTCGCAGGCAACAACAGATTAAGACTACAAAACGGGAATGCAAGACAAGCTGCGGTGTACATAGGCAAATACAGTTATTTCCAACAATATATTTAGTTTTGTTAGTTATGTGTTCTACAAGAACCGCTTGTGAATTGTAAACTGCTAGAATGAAGGATTCAATTAGGGTTTGATAGACTGATTGGGGAACAACACGCTTCCAGCATGCCTTCTGCTCATCCAATTGTTAATCTTTGTTTCCAATTGACTCTCTTCAAAAAATACTAATCTTTCGTTTTCATTGATGACAGGCAAATTCTCGGGATTTGCGCGAATGTCGACGTCATCGCGACGGGAAATACCGCAGGTGGCCTGGGTGCTGCCGCCAAGTATATCATCCAAGGCGCTGGGCGGTGTCATCGAGCTGGATTGGATCTGTCGCAAGGAGTTGCCGTTTAACACGACACTGCATCTGCACAATTCGTGGAACGAGGGCAAACCGGTGAAGATTGGTCGCGATGGCCAGGAGATCGAGCCGAAAATTGGCGCCGAATTGTGTCGCCTGTTTCCCGAAGACGATGAGATCGAATTGACGCCCATCTTACGCAAGTCGAAGGAGACGGCACGTGTGATGCGCGAGAAGGGCATCCATGTGATCTACAAGGCGCCGCGCAGTCTCTCCACCCGTGGACATGGCGGTGGGCGTGGCAACAATCAGCTGGGACCGATGCGACATCGACGCAGCTATGGCCACAATGCCCCCCATCATCATCACCAGCATCAGCAGCAGCGACCCTATCATCGGCATCATCATCATCATCATCATGGTATGGGCATGGGCATGCCAGGTGGTGGTGGCGGAGGTGGTGGCGGCGGTGGTGGATTTAAGCGCAATGGTTCACCCTATCGCCAAATGGCTGGCGGTTCAGGTTCCGCTTCAGCTGAGATGAACTCACCGGGTTGGGAGCGTTACATGTCCTCGGCGGACATGGCCAAAGCGTACATGGCCGACTATTTTCGCAATATGCACGGCCAGCTGCCGCCACTACCGTTCGCGCCACCCTTTGGTCAGATGCCAATGCCGTCGTCGGCAGCAGGAGCTGCTGGCGCTCTGCTACCCGGAGCACCGGCATCGATGTACGAACAATTGCCGCCACCGGTGCGGTACTATGATGGACCGGGTGCACCACCGTTGCCGGATTATCCGCCGCCGCAGCCGATGCGACCACCGCCGCCGGGTTTCGATAAGGCACCGAGCTATGAGGATTTTGCGGCCTGGAAGAATGCCGGTTTGCCAACGGTGGCAACACCGCCCGGCTTTCCCAATGTGTACGCCAACAATGGTGGTGGTGGCGGGGGCAGCGGCAGCGGCAGCCTTGCAACAAGTGGCGCCGTCGGAGGTGCAACGCTGCCCAGCATCAATGCCGGCAATCGGGGGGAGAATGGCAACGGATCCGGGCTAGGCGGTCGTCGGCGCGATTATGGCGGTGGCAATCGCAGCGGCGGCGGAGGCGGATCCTCGCGACAATTTCGTGGCGATCGCGGTGGCGGTCGCAGCTATCGGGATGGCGGCAGGCGTTGAATCTGTGTATCGATTTTGAGTATTCTGTTTAACACACACACACACCCGGGTCTCTATTCTCGATCAAAATAAGTGCGCGAAAAGTATCCAATCCCCCACCCCCAAAAAAATCCTCCTACCCCCCGGCAACTTCCCCCAACACACTCTCTCTCCATGCTGAGAGTGTCGCGTGTGAATCGAAGCAGATGTCTTCAAAAATGCAATGCAAAAAAGAAAAAGAAAATGAAAATCGTAAAAATTAATCTAAGTGCAGCAGCAGCAGCTGGAATTAAGCAGCGCAAATAATCGTTATCAGCAAATCAAATTCAATCCAATCCAAGTATGAACGAATAACTATTTCGTCTCTTATACAACAACAACAACACTCCAACTCTCTTTCCCCTCTCTTTGTCTCTCACAGTCTCTTGTCTCTCTCTCTCTCTCTCTCTTTTGCTTAGCCTATTTGTCATGCGAGAAGTTTTATATGATTTAAACAAACTTACAAAATAAGCAAATTACACAACTACAACAAAAATCATATATTAATAATATTAAAAATACAAAAAAGAGAGAAAAAAAAAATATACCAAGCACAAAATGTGAACTTTATTTCAAAGAAAAAAAGAGACGCTACAAAACTACAAAACAACCAACAAACAACAAAACTGCACAACAACAACAGCAACAACAACAACATGAACGTACCGTTAAATCAAAGCAGTGATCTGTGTGTGTGTAAATGTGTGTGTGTGCTTCTATACAACAACATCAACAACAACAACAAGAAAAAAATACCCCTGTGCTTCCCCCCACACGAGAGTTGGACATTTTTGAATTGAAAGGCAGACGGCACTCATGCTACTCCTCCATACTACTACTCTACTCTATATATATATATATAAATCGTATAACGATTATTAATTTAAAACAACAACAAAAAAACATCATATCTAACAACCGGACCGCAAATCTAACCTCTCAAGACTCACAATCTTGAGCAATTTCTGAGACAGACCACAAGTTAAGAGAACCAAACAAACATTTCTCGTGGAAGGTGAAAAACAACTACTCCCAAAGTAATATATGTCTGTATATATAGACTATATTCTTTGGGTATGTGTTAAATTTGATTATGTGATATTTTTTGAGCCCTCCGAGCTCTCCAGAATTGACAAGAATTTTACACTTTTGTTCTATTCTGGTCCCAACGAGTTTCAACTAAAATAGATCTGTCTTAGATATATATATATATCGATATATATTTATATACATTACGCAAACTGCAATTTTTAAAAAAAGACTGCCATGACGGCTTCAGTTCCATTGTGGAGCAAATGGGCCAAAGAGACTGCTAAACACCTGAAATTGACATTTTGGACTGTATTAGGAACGTTATTTTTTTGTTCCATTTCTTTTTTTTCCGTTCTTTTTTTTCGTTTGTTTTGCTCTTTTTTGTTACAGATCCTGGCAGAGTTACGTGAGGCTACTGGAACCTGCTGAGCTATATATTTACATATACCAAAGACTAACTTGCAATCCACAACTGGGATTATCTTTAATGAGCATACTCAAATCGATATCTGCCTGTTGCGAACTACAAATATTGGATAAAATGTAAAAATACTTTGCAAATTCTATTTGAAGCCAAGGATATTTTGGATGTTCTGTTCAGCTAAAAGGGAGCACATCTCCTTTTGGAGTTTTAATAAATGTTTACATGTCTATATATATACAAACGACTTGCCTACTTTATTTATGTCACTGAATTATCGAGTTATCTTATTATATTCTGGTAAACTTTTTGGAACTATATTCTCATGGGTTGAATGAATTCTACGATGATAATTAGTCTTACAAAAGCAAAGGGCTTTAAGATATACTTTAAGGACGAGGTCGAAGCCAAGGACAATTGCTTAGTTCGAAGATTTCCTTGCTGATTTTTGAAAGACATGCTGCATTAGCATCACAGGAACCAACTCTATCGATCGGCACTCAAGGTTATGGGGGTCAGCTAAGCAGAAAACACTTGGACAATCTCAGTCGGAGGGCAAACTACCACTTTTAGCTAGTCGATGGACCTGATCACAACAATATAACAGTTAAACGCAATTTCCTTTCAGCTGCTTGTATGATTTTCGATCTTTTTATTAAGCGGCAGGCTAAGTATTAAATGTTGTCCGAAGGATACTCGAATACTTCTTAAAATTGCCGAGCTATGAGCTTGATTAAATTAACATTTGCTGACCATTTTCGAGTGCCAAACGATAGGCCCTTTTACTGTAAACTCAACAATATATATAAAGGTGTTTTTTTAAGGTAATACATACATACCTTTATTTAGTTTTGCATATTTATTTGGTGCTTAAGACAATCAGAAATAATAATAAATTATTAAGAGCAAATATTTATTATCACTACTTTAAAAGATTCGAATATTCAGTTGGTTTTTATGCAACTCTATTTGAATTGGCTTTGATAAGCATTTCAAATTTCAAATTTGTTTGGGTTTGGCGCGTTTTTCGTCGATTTGCTTTGTGCTCGTCATTCGTTATTGGTTATTCAGCCCTCGACCATCTGCCGCTGTTGTTGCTGCTGTGAACATAACCCAACTTTTGAGGCCGAACAATACATGACGTATGCATGCAAGTGTGAGTGTATATGTGTGTCTGTGTGTATGTGTGCCTGCGTGTGTGTGTGTCTCTGTGTGTGTGTATGTGCGTGTATGCGTGTACCACCATGTAGCATGCCATGTATTCTTAAGGAGCTACATGGCAACAGCCCGCGGGGTGCATGAAGTAAAAACTAAAGCATTTGCCATAAGAAATTGTGTTTGATGCCAATTAAAAATACAACTCCCGAGTCGAAGAAATTTAAGATAATAAAGCAATGACTGCTTTCACTTGATTTTTATCTATGACTGCGGGAGTCTCACCATGTGTGAGTGCAGCATATACATGGCAGCCATTCTAGCATACATGGCAAATGAAAACTGGTTCTTGAGCAGGGGCGCAAGAGGGGGTTAAAAATAGAAAGCCGCCCCACTAAAATTGCACCCGGTTGGAATTTTCAGCAAGGGCAATTATATAAGGTAATCTTCGAAAGTTAATAAATAAATAAAAAATACGATTTCAACAACTCTATTGTTCAGTGTATTTGACGAGTTTTATTTAAAATTAATATTAATTTACGAAATGTTTGTTCTTAGTTTATTGTGTACCAGTTTTTTTTAAATTTTTATTATTGTTATTTACAATGGGCGCAACATTTGGAGCATCTGCAGCGGAGGCATCTCCACTAGAGTGCCGGATTCCGTATGCTATGGTTCGATCTTGCGAATCTTAAGCCCGGCACCGACACTGGCCACCCGACTAGTGATGAGTGTTGCGGGTGAGGCGGAGGAGCTGATATTGCTAAGGGCTGAGGAGGAGCTGACCAGCTGAGGCATCAGCGGATTGCTGGTGGTGGTTGAGGTGGTGTTGTTGTCGCCGCCATTGGCGCCATTGTTATTGTTGTTGTTTGGACTGGAGGAGGCGACGCCGTTATGCAGGCGACGCTTCAAAACAAATCGACGTGCATTTGGGCTCGTCATCACAGGTGAGTTGGTTGCTGTCGTTGTTGCTGCTGTTGCTGTTGTTGAAGTTGCTGCCACAATGTGTTGCCCGGCCGTCGTCTTGGTCGCTTGTGACTGCTGCAGTTCCTCGGCCGTGGGATCGACTTCCATTTCGGTGGCTGTGCTCTCCTCGTGCTGTTTTTGTATAGACAATAACTGAATTAGATTCACGAATTAAGAATGGCTCTAGGGATTGCTTACCACATCGCTTGTGTGCTCCTCATCGTCGTGTCCCTCCTCCTCCTCGAACTCGGCGCTCTCCGTCTCCTCGGGATACTCAACAAGCTGGCCATTGAGCGTGGGAAACTCAATGACAGGCAATATTTGACGTGGCTGCTGTGTGTTGTTCTCGTCCATCAGCTGCTGTATCAGCTGGGCAATATCCTCGCGCTTCTTGGTGACGGTGAGGTAATCGAACCAATTGGTCAGCTGCTTGATGGGCAGGCGGTAATCCTTGATGGGATCCTTGAAGAAATGCTCCACATACTGTAGCAGATACAGGCCACAGTCGGTGAAGTTGTTCTGTTGCGGCACCTTGACGCCATGACCCGGCATATTATCCTTGTTGAAGATGTGCACCTGCGCATCCGGTTTCTTAATCTTGTACTCGCACGTGAGATAATCTCGCAGCGTTGCCACCACACGACTGCGTGAGGCGCCCGCCAGTGAATCAAAGATTAAGATCAGCGGCTGCTTCACAGCAGGCATATCCTCGCTGGATACTCGAGCTGGGCCCGAAGACGATGCTGTTGTGGTTGTGCTTGGTATTGGTGTTGCTGCAGCTGATGTAGCTCCACCTGCAGCTGGCGTTGGAGTCGCATCCTTGCTGGTAGCTGTTGGTGGTGGATTCGAGTTCTCGCTAGCCTCGCTAGCCATATCACTATCATCGCCCTCGGCTTCATCTCGTTCGCTCTCGTCATCGCCAATCCGGCAAATTTCGCTGGCCATGGCGGGAAGTGTGACAGTTTCGCGCTTTGACAACGGCGTAATGGTTGTGCTACCAATCTGGAGGGCAACCTTCTTGCCGCGTGGCCGTTTCAGCTGTTGCGGCTCCACGGGCTGATTCGTGTCAAAAGTGACGGGTCCCTTGAGGCAGGGGAAACAAATGATGGCAAGGAACCAATGCGATTGCTCGTTAATCGGCACAATGATGAAATCCTTGTCAAAGATGTCCACCAGTTTCGTCCACTTTTGGACGCGTGCATGACGCTTTTGCGCCGCCGTTTGCTTCACATCCGTTGGACGCGTCAAAGTCGTGAGGCGTTTGTAAAAGAAGGTGCTGAAAATGTGAGTGCGTTCACGCAACGCCTCCGGGATGAGAGTGTTGCGCAGCCAGAGCAGATAGAAATCAATGATAATATCATTTAGATACGACTCCTTGGTCAGGCACACATAGTCCTCCATGCGTATGCACAGTCCGCCGGTGCCCTTGGGCGGATACATCAGCAGACTGACCTGCTCATCGGAGCGCAGTTGACGCGGCGCCAACTGTGTTGGTTTGTCTAACGCCTTGCGATCTGAGTCCGCAATACGCTCAAAGATTTCCGCCGCATCACGAGACGAAATCTCATCCATAAAACTAAACATCGACTTGAGTGTTTCGCGTGCCGAAAAATTGATCGAATCAAAGAGCAAAATTAGACGGCGCTCATAAAAGCTGCCCTGCTTGAAGCCAAATTCTGCGGTGAAGATTAGAGAAAAAAATTGGAATACATTTAAATGTAGCTATAACATATATAGCTTACGTTCATTGGGGCTATCGTCGGGCAGCTGGAGTTGCGTCTTCACATATTGAGCGCAGGTCTTCAGCATGTAGAGAGTGACGAGGGGCTGCGCCTGCTCGTAGCTGGCAAAGTGTGCAACCACCTTGATCACTTCTCGCTTATAAATATGAAGCACGAACTTCTCCTCCTTATCCTGCAGTAGGCCCATTATGCGCACGCCCTTCGACGTGAAGGCGACCTACACAAAACAATTCAACACTCAATAAGTAAATAATAATAGAATAGTGCAAAAAAGGAGGATGATTTGTCGAACTTACCGGTTCTGTAATCTGAAAGCGATATGGCATCAGGCGCATACATTTGCAAGGCAGCTCGGTGGTAAATGATTCGCCATCCGTCAAATCGGATAGATCCATAACATCTCCACGCACAAAGTCTGCAAATAAATAAAATTTCATCATTTTACATGTGATTTTTTTGTTTGCTTCTGGCATCCCTTTGCACTGGCGGCAGTCACATTTTTTCCAACATGTTTTGTTTGCTGCACACGCTTACCGTCGTCTTCCATGATTAAATTACTATATTTTTTATTTCTAAATAAAACTATATTGTCAAACAAACGTCATAACAGGATGTAAAACTAGTTAAAGGCAACAAAGCAGATTGCAATTTCTTATAATGCAATGCAAATGCAAAACGCGTTCGTTTTGCTGTGCGCTCTGCTTCTTCTTATTCTGCTTCTCCACCGTCTTCGCATGCTCTTTTTCTGAAAAATGGCGTGCTGCCGAGGCGCACTCTGGCGTCTGTTGTAGGCAACTACAAACTGTGTACGAAATCGTTGCCAGCTTGAAAATTACGGCACAATCATGTATATAGTTATTTACTGTGTGCTGCTGACAGGGATGCAGAAACTTTGGGCACGAAATATATTTCTTGGGCAATTAATGAAAATCACGACATAAATTAATAATAATGATTGCTAGTTATGAATCGTTAAATGGATCCGCTTTGCAGTTTCAACTGCTTATATGAATATAGAATATGCAGTTAAATTGAAATTTTGCATGCTATTCTTTCATTTTTATATATAATAATATCATAATAATACTAAGAATATTTTTATTTGATCGCTTACCTTTATAAAGCGCTTCCTCATCCACCTCGGGCAGCGTCGGATCACAGGCAAATGCAGTTGGTAGTTGATTAGCGTTTCCATTCGAATTCCGATTAATATTGTTGGCAGTGAGCTGTGGTTTACACATCATTAATTAATCATATTTTACTTAAAATGTGATCTTTTTCTCTTACATTGTTGGCATCGCCTTTAGCCTCATCCTGTTCGGCTTCATCCTCACTGCTGAGCAGGACGACAGGATCTGCTTCCGCTACGCGTCGTCCGCTGCGCGTACGTCCACCTCTAATGGCCATGCCCCTGCCCCGCACATTGCTGGTGCCTGGTGCATAGGTGGCACCACCGACACCCACCTGTTTGAGACGTGCCAATTCACGTTTTTTGTCCGCCGCTGTTGCCGGCTCGCCAGATAACGAGCCCGCGCCGGCTAGGGATGCTGCTGAGGTATTCGACTTGGTAACGTAGGATTTGCGTTTGGGCGGCTCCTGGAAGACACGCTTGCAACGCTGGCATTTGGCATGATCCATGCCCGTGAAGCCGCACAGCTGGCAAACGGCAAAAAAGCCGTCAATCAATTTGGGTCCATCCGTGGGCGCAATCACTGCGCCGGCGGCGGATGATGCGTTGGTGACCACTCCAGCGGTTCCAGCGGCATCTCGCTTAACCTGATCCGCAGCTGCTGCGGCGCCAGCAGTAGCCAATTGCTGGCCGTTGTTGTTAAAGGCTGGCGTTGTTGCCGTTGTTGGTGCTGCTGTTGTTGTAGCTGCTGCTGCTGCGGCTGCTGCTGCCGCCGCTGCTGCGGCATTCTCCTGCTGTCGATTCATTTGCAGACTCTCTTCTGCTCTTGAGATGAGCTCGCTGGCCGATTCGTTGACGGAGAAGCCGACGGTGACGATAAAGTCAACATTGGCTGCACGATGCTCTACACACTGAATGGTGGTTGTGTTGTCGAAGGGAACAGATACCTGCTCCAGCAGATCCTGTACTGTGCACGACTCCCGTGGCAAGGTGAACGTAATCAGACGCTGCTCCCCCGAGGCGAGTATGACCAACATTTTGGCACTGTTTCGATCCCTATCCGCAATTGGTTGACCAGCACGATTGTTGAGCACATGCTGCGAATGAATCTCGTAGTTGTTGTGCGATGTTTGCTGCACCGATGACAGCTGTGGCGGTGGTGCTGCGGCAACTGCTGCGGTTAGCACACGTTGCTGTGGTTGTAAAATGCGAGTGGCAGCTGCAGCACCAGCTGAATTGGCTTGTTGCTCCTGCTGCTGTTGTTGATGTTGTTGTTGCTGCTGCTGCAGTTGCTGCTGAGGTGCCTGTGGCAAGGCTTGCGTCAGCTTGGGCCCCGTTCGCACTAGAGTGCCTGGCGTCGCCTGCCGCATGGGTGTCAATCCAGCCGGGCCTGTTGGTGGTGGCGCCGGGGAACTGACTATCGTCTGCCGTTTCTTGTATTCCGCCAGGGACATGCTGGCACCGCTCGCTGTACGCAATCCTGGTGGCTGCTGTTGCTGCTGCTGTGGTTGTTGTTGTGGCTGCTGTTGTTGTTGTTGCTGCTGCTCCTCCTCGCTGCTGCTGTTGTTTGCCACCGTACTGGGCTGGTAGTAGGTTGTGAGCGTGGTGCTGCCAGCCGGTGGCAGCTGCATGGGCACAATGCCACCAGCTGGCTTCTGTTGCTGTTGCTCCTGTTTCTTCACCACCACAGCCTGGATGCTCTCCTCGAGATCTAGTCCCATGGTGGTGGCATTCGGTGCTGGCGCAGCTCCTGCTGTTGGCGCCGGAGCGGGACGATAGCGCACGGGTTGACGCATCAATACCATCTGTTGTTGTGGTTGCGGCTGTTGTTGCTGCTGCTGAGGATTACCGCTCGCATCGCTGACGACATGACGATAGACATGACGCGGCTGCAGTTGCTGACCCGGTGCCGTCTGCTGTCCAATATTCGTTATCGTTATCTGCTTGGTCATCTGTGTTTGGGTCACAATCTGCATGGTCTGACCGACCTCGCCGGCTGCACTAGTCTGCACCAGGGTCTGGGCGCGTGTGGGCCGCACGCCCGGCTGACGCATCGCACGCACCAGGTTACCTGCCACAGTCTGGACGCCGCCGCCACGCGGTCGCATGTGCCGCACAATGGTGGGCGTCAGGGCTGGTCGTGTTGCAATCACAGTCACGGCTGGTTGTCGAGCAATGACGGCACCGCCACGCGTAGCCTTGCCGCGAAACGGGGCACGCACTAGTTGTGTGCCGGTGGCTGTGACCAATTGTGGTTGCGGTTGCACCTGTACTTGTTGACCTTGTGGCTGCTGCTGCTGCGGCTGTTGTTGTTGCTGCTGCTGTTGTTGCTGCTGCTGTTGCGGTTGTAATGGTGTCTTATGCAATTGCACTTGCTGATAGACAACGTTGCCGGTCGGCTGTGGCACCACACGCGTCTGCACCAGATGTGTTTGTGCCTGGAGATGTAGTTGTTGTTGCTGCTGCTGCTGCACGTGTTGTTGCAGCACGTGCTGCTGTTGCTGCTGCTGCTGTGGCGAGGTGGTGTACACGACCCGATTGTTGTACGCATGTATATTGATTCCCTGTTGCGGTATCGCCGTCGCCTGTCGCATTATCAGTTCCTGATGCTGTGGAGCTTGAATCAAGACCTGCTGTCCCGTCGGCTGCTGCACAATCACGTGTGTATTGTTTAGCATCTACGAGTCAATGAAAAACATATTTAATTGTTCAGTATTATGCGTTGTAACAATTATTAGTTGGTTTTTAAACTTTAAAATAACATATTTGTCAACAGTTTAACTCCGATTTGTACGTAATATTCGGCATGACATATATATATACATATTATTCACATCTTGCTACAAATATTTCTAAACTATAAGTTGGATTTGCATTCTTTAGTCTTTAGCAATCTACAACTACAATTAATTCTTGTTGCTTACGCTTATTTGGCGCTGTTGCTGTTGAGTTGTCGTCATGCGATAGACAATTTGGGGATGCTGTTGTTGTGCGGGTGATGTTTGCAGTTGCAACGTTTGTTGCGGATGCTGTGGACTTTGCAGCAGCTGCTGCTGCTGTTGGGGACTGCCCTGCACCATGGGGGTTGGTTGCTGTTGATAGGCGGTATGTTGTTGCTGAGGTTGATACTGTTGCTGGTGTTGTTGTTGCTGTAGGACTTGCTGCTGCTGTTTCTTTTGTTGCTGCTGTTGCAATTGCTGCATGGAAGCGTGCTGCACAATTGTGCTGGGCTGCAGCACTTGATCCGATGTGTAATAGATTTGCTGCGTGTGCTGAATGGCGGGCTGTTGTTGTTGCTGCTGTTGCACATATTGTTGCTGCTGTTGCTCGAGACGCAACTGCTGTTGCTGCTGTGCCTCCTGTTGCTGTTGTTGCTGATAGTGCACCTGCTGATGATGCATAACCACCTGCTGTTGCTGCTGCTGCTGTTGCACTTCCTGTTGCTGTTGCTGCTGTTGCTGCTGCTGCTGCAAGTCAGCGTTTATAATATAATGGCTCGCTGTTGCCGTTTGCTGTTGTGGCTGATACTGCGCTGGTGCCGTTGTCTGATAAACCACTTGCTGCTGATCACTGAACACTAGCTGCTGATCCTCCTGCAGCACCAGATTCTGTGGAATGATATTAATCAAATGAGCGATCAATTTTAAATTAATTGTTGCAGTACAACTTACGCTCACGTCGTCATGCGGCACTTGTACCACCTGCAAATCTGAGTAGACTGGCTTCATTTCCATGTCGTCGCTGTTGCTGTGCACTATGTAGCCTTCCATGGTGTGGCACGCTGCACGCTGCAAGGGCAACAAATTTGTTATTTATTTGTACGTCGTCTGTGTGACGTCACATGCCTTGTTAAAGGCAGCAGCGCAATTTTTCTTTTTGCATCATCTTCTTTTTACCTTTGTGGGCCTTGGCTTATTATTGTTGTTGTTGTTGCTACTGTTATGCGTTACAACACACGTTTTGAAACACACACTCGGCTCATTCGCACTTAACTCTCAAAGCATTTTCTTTTCGTGCACGATTTCAGTCAAAATATGCCTTAGCATCTAATTATAAACGCAGTTTGCATGAAAATTCGCTTTCTTTAACAAACACCAAAGCAACGAACAGGAATCAAATATGGCGTTTACTTGCAGCTGGCAATGCCAACAAGCGAATGGCGCATGACGCCATCTAGCGACCATTTGGGCGGCAGCTGTTTACAAAACATTTTCAGTGTTGCGTTTTGTTTTGCACTTTATCGACGTCTGCTTCTGGTGCGTTTACGTCTAATGTATAGTGGGACCACTATCTGGCATGTAGAGCACTGAGCGATTTTTGTGGTACCACTAAACACCCGAAAGCCACTTATCACTGGAGTTTTCTTCATTTTCACACTATTTCTAACTAATCTCGAACGAGACACTTTTGACCGTATAAAAACCATGATCAGCGTTATTTATTTGTTGCAATGCACACGTAATTTGCTAAATTATAGTTCGATTTAATGCCAGTTTGAACGTTGTCTTCAGCAGCGCGAAAGGAGCGCGCAGCTCTTGCGAATTATTTGGAAGAGGAAGATGAAGCAACAACACACAACGAAGTAGTAAGGTAAAAATAAGCGCCAGAACGTCCCGATTGAGTTGGCAGCCCTGACAACTCAAATTTAATTTGACTAATAAGCAACTATTTAATTAATATGTTTTAGTAGTATAAGTTTACCAATTTATATATATTATATTTTTTAATGGTTCTAATACAAATGAGAAATTAAACAGAGTGAATCAATATCATTGATAATAATAAGCAATAACTTATTATTAACCGGGCAACAGCTGCGCCGTTAAGCCAAATTTAATGTATTTTGTGCAAGGCTAGTTGACAACGCCAGTTCATGACGTCACATTTAGTTTGTTTTTTCCCTAATAAATGAATCATCCACAAAGAGAAAAATTAGTAAACAGTATTTGAACAATTACCGAAGTAAGCGACAGATACCAAGATGTTCTCCAGTGGTCCCAACTACAACAAGCTCAAGACAAATTTGCGTTTGGCGCAAAATCGTCTCAAGTTGCTCGAGAAAAAGAAATCGGAAATAACGCAAAAGTCGCGCAAGGAAATTGCTGATTATCTTGCCACAGGCAAAACGGAAAGGGCTCGTATCCGTGTGGAGCACATTATACGGTAAAGTCAGGTAAATTTAGAGCACCAGCTGAGATATACTCACGCTGCATTCGCTTCCAGGGAGGATTACCTCGTGGAGGCTATGGAAATAGTGGAAATGTATTGTGACTTGTTGTTGGCACGTTTCGGTCTCATCCAGCAAATGAAGGAACTCGATGCTGGCATAGCCGAACCCGTGTCCAGTCTTGTGTGGGTATGTCCCCGACTGCAGAGCGACATTGGCGAGCTAAAGGTCATCTCAGACATCTTTGTGCACAAATATGGACCGCAATTTGCGGAGCATTCGCTCACCGCAACTGGTGAGCATTTTGTATCGGAGAAGTTGATGCACAAGCTGACTCTGCAGGCGCCGCCCAAGCTGCTCGTGGAGAACTACTTGATAGCCATTGCAAAGAACTACAACATTGAATACGAACCAGATCCACAGGTCATGCAGGAGGAACAGAAGCCAGATCCACAGGCACATCTCATTGATTTATCAGATCGGAATAATCTGAGTGGCGGTGGTGGTGTGCCTCATCCACCTCAAATGGGTTTCATTGGATATCCGGCAATGCCACAATTGCCGGAAATGCCAGCGCCACCCAGTAGCAAGCCATTTAATTATCCACATTTCGGTGGAAACGGCGGCGGCGGTGGTGGTGGCATGGCTGGGGCCTGTGCTGCTCCAGCGCCAGTTCAACCGCCGCCACCATTTGCATACAACATACCGCCACATCAGCCACCGCCGTCGCAGGGCAAGTGTGCCGAGGAGAAGGATTTGAATACCAATTTCATCAATGTAAGTCAATGATTATAAATTATAATTATAATGATAACTTGGCTAATTGAGAAATGCTGAAATTATGATCTGCCAGTATTTAAGTAAAGTAGCTCTATAAGAATGCTTTTCTTTCACAAACTAGAATCAGTCGTAATTTAAAATCAATTGCGTTTCAATTCTCGAGATATCATTGTAGTTATTTATATACATAAATCTGTATATAGTTGGCTTGAGCTGAGCTCTTTGCATGTTTGTGCATGATTTTTTGGGCAATTGCAGCATGAATCTGATCCCAAGAATAAGGAAGCGGAGGCCTCTGGCTCTGGCAGTCCGGACGAGAACATTTTGGTACGTTAACCAGGGCATGGTCTATCTAAACTAACCTGCTTTTCATTTCTAACCCAAAAACTGTATCTGATGTCACTCTCTTGTCGCACTTTCTTGTGACGTCACGGCGTGTCTGTAAGTGTAGAGATGGAAATGAGTCTTCCTTATTTCTGCTTATCTATTTTATATATTCGTTTCCTGCTTTCGTCGTCATCGCTTTTGATATATGTACATATTAATATATATTTATTATTTGTTCCACTTATGATTTGATTTGGAATTTTTCATGTTTTGCATCACAGCGCCCCAAGCCGCATAATGATCCACCGCCACGTTACTCCTCGATTAATCCCGCTAATTTGCAGGTCGCCGACACGTTCTTGATCTTAATTTACGCTTGACGATTGACTTTAAATGCGCCCATCCACTAAATATTAATTTAATATATTTCCTTTATCGCTGCAGAATACCAACAAACCGAAACCTCAACCACGCTCCAAGCTGCCACCGGGTGGACCCCAATATCCCAGCGCACCGCCAGCGTTGGATATGCCATCGTTGCCCAATGTTCCAAGTGATTTGCCCGATGTTCCAGGCGGCGGCGCCGGCAAAGCTGATGACGATGAGATTGATTTCGATGAACTCTCACGTCGTTTTGAGAATCTGAAGAAGCGCAAATGAAGCAACAACTGCGACGCACCCTTTAATCCCTATACATTCAGAAATTTGTTAATCTATATAATCCCAATACATAAATATATTTTGTAAAATTCGTTGCGCATATAAAAGAGCGAGATCTTGATGTCATCCTTATAATTGTGAAGTCATGTTCAATTCCGCGTCATCGAACATAGGTATCCCATGCAATATTTTTCGATTTTTAATCATTATTTGTCGACAAAAATAAGAATCTGTGCTGTATATAAAATATCAATTCGTTTCCCAACTAGAAAAGCTCATCGCTCTCCACAACTTCCTTGAGTTCGAGCAGTTCCAACAGTCCTTTACCCTTGGTTTCGTTGCGCACCAGTTCGTCTATGACGCGATACTGCCCGGGATCTATCAGTAGTGTCAGATGAAGAGTTGCCTCCTCCCACTCTTCGTGCTCCACTGTGTTGGCCAGCTTGATAACCGAGTCCTTCAGCTTGCCGCCACCTTCTTTGCCGGCAAAGCTGACGCGCAGTTTCATGCGAGATCGCTCAATCGGCATGTGTTCGCGCAGCATTTTAATGGCCTCCAGTGTGTTCTGCTTCGTGTTCTTGTTCATCTTCACGGAGAAGTGGGCATCCTTGAGAGATTTCTCAATGATGGTCGCTGAATAGGGACGACGTGTTTCGGGATTAACACAAAGTGCAGCGACACCATTCACAATGCTATTTAGCTGCGAATCCAAGACGCTCTGTCGCTCCTTCTCCGACACCTGAAGTTCACCTTTGCTGAGGATCTCTTTGCAGATTTCCGTCTCATCTTTGGCACCAAAAGCCTTCTGCAGTTCATCCTTTTTGGCTGCCTGCCCTTTGGACACATTGGTGAAAATTGTGTGTGTTTGCAGCACTTCATCGATGTCCTTTTCACTGTGAGTTACTTGTTGAGTTAATTGCAGCGCATGCTATTTTGTGCACACTTACCTGTTGTTGCGCCAGGACAACACCTTGTTTTTATAGCAGGCAATTTCGAAGCGTTTGCCAGCCTTTTTCAGCCGGACAATGGCTACATTTGTAAGACGTATTTGATTCGTGGGCGTGAATATCTTGGACATGTTGAAATGATTGCTCAGTGTGACCGCAGACGGCCAAACCAAAAATACATATACAATTGTCAGAAAAATACCAAAAAATAAATACCAAATTCGCCGCAGCTATTCGCGTTCCGCGTTTGCCAACACTGCACTGAAACCAGTTTCGGTTTGTTTTTACTTTATTTGTTGAATATTTTTGTGTAAAACATAAAACTTTAACAATATCTGCCTACTTCTTTTCTGTTTGCTTGCAACGATTTGCAATTGTGTGTGGCAACAGGCGGATGAGGCACGCCCGCGTGCTGCCAGACACAACAACAAGGCAGCACACATTGGATTTGTTTAGCGGGCCTCAAAAACTCCAAACTTAAATGAACCAAATCATATTTATCATTATCATATCATATTAAACATGCCCATCCACTGTGCTTCCTACAGATGTGGCGGCTCTGTGCAGTCGGACATTTCGCTTTCCGGCTCGCATGGGCATGTCTCCAGATCGTCGGGTATGCAACCTTCCTCCTCGCAGATGCCCGCATCCGTTGCCGACGTCTCGGACTCTTCCTCTTTGTAGCCAATGTAGGTGGAGGCACGCTGCTTGATAATCTCCAGTATGATGGCTGTGAGTATCTCGCGCGAGTCGACAATGTGACCGACTTCTTGGGCCACCTCGGCGGATAGCCATGGACAGACTTCCTTCATCAGCTGCTCCTTCTTCACCGCATCGCTGGCCGGCTCAATGCTCTCCAGCACCTCGGGCAGCAGGCTGGCGATGTGTCCCTGGAGTAGCTTGGCCGCTGTGACGCTCTTCTGCATCTCCACATCCAGCTCCTTGGCAATGGAGTCCTGGCGCAGACGGCGTTCTTTCTCAGCGTGCAGACGCAGTTCCTCTGCCTCCAAGCGCCGCAACTCCACCAGCTCAGCCTCGCGCTGGGCCAGGAATCTGTAAGAAATGAATTTAAATTTATGTCATCTTTTTAAAATGTATTCCTCATGCTTACAGCTCCTGCTTGCGACGTAGTGTATCCAGTTCCATTTCATGTGCCACCTCCAGCATGCTCTGCTCTATGCAGGCATCCACCATTACATCAATAATCGGCTGAGCTTCCGCATCAAAGTGAAACAGTTCGTCATCTCCGATTTCGGTGCCCACATCGACGCCCACTTTGGCGGGCACATATGGCGGCGTTGGCGGCTTCTCCAGAAATAGATCGGTTTGTGTGTCGACCGAGTATTCGGGCGGACGTTGCACCAGCTTCTCCAGGTATTTTTCCGTTTGCATGTTTTCATGCTTTCGTCCTTTGACTGGCGGCGGTGTGCCGAGGACATTGCGCTGATTGCGGCACTGCATCGATCGCTTGCGTAGCATATTGCGGCGCCTAATCTCGGCAGTCTTGTCAAAGGGGTCAACCTCCGCCTGCAAGTAATACGAATGCGATTAGTCATGGGTCAGGGTTGCTTCAACCAGCTTCAACACTTACAAGCATCGACGGACTACCAAAGTTGCTTCCCTTTATGACACGTCGGTCGTACATCATGTTCATGTAGGGCTCGGGCGGTGGAACGACGGGCCTGCAATGAATTTAAGACGGACACCACCAATTAGCAAACCTCGACCCAGTTCAATAAACTCGCGCGTATTTCTTGACTGCTTATTATACCCTGTATTACATTACAACCAGAAATAAATTTGAGTATTTGGCCATTTGGGCACTTTAGATACGTTTTTTTTAAAGATGTGCTGGGCATTTTCAAGTAAAACTCTCACGACAGCTTATTTATACTTGTTTAGACCTAAATCTGTTGCACTCTGCAGGCGATAAACATCAAATTTGTGCATTGCACCACGACCCGCTAATACTAGAATGGGGCGTTAGCTTGTCAAGTCATCTCCGATACGAATCAATTTCCTTTAAGTTCAGTACACTTTTGGGTCACGTAGGGTAGGAGTTTGCACATAGCCGACTTTCAGCACCACAAATCGGAATTAAAGCCTCTTGTGCCGCACAGCTTAAAGAGCGAGCAAAGGAAGCGCACAAGCAGTTGCCCCTGGACTGAACTGGTCAGTTATTTGTGACTTGCTTATTTATATGTACCACTGCGGTGCATAGGTGGTAAATGGTACATGGCATTTGGTATATATAAGTATATAACATTGTCAGACATTGCGCTCCTTTTATGCGCTGGAACCTGAACTCGTGACCTATGCAAATTTTTCAGCTTGTTGGGGCTGAAACTGGCCCACAAACAGGAAGCGTATGTCTACTGTCCGCTTGCTAGAAGCGGAGCAAACGGGGGGTGCTACGACCAACTCTCTGGGTCTGGGTCCCCAAGCACAAAGCAATCAACCAAAGTGACGACTTCAAATAAACGGAACTGCGCTGTAGAAATGAAGTTCAGATGGCATGAGAAGTCTTTGTCAACTTTTTTGTTTTTCATGCTTGATTTTGTATTGTGGTTCTAAATCAGTTTTATAGTGATAAAAGTGATAAAAGACGGACAGTCACCAGGCATGTGTATGAGAGTTGCTTATTTTTTTGCACGATTTTCTTTGAGATTGATTGTTGATTAAGTTAAGTCTAACACATGATCAACATTACACTTTAAAGGATAATAATATAAGCATTTTGAAAAGTAAAGTTGATCATATCTTAACAATTGAATAAAAAGAAAAAAGTAAATAAAACAGTTTAAATATTCTTCCATATCGCATATCCTTTCCCTTAGCAGTGTGTAAAATTCGTCGTATAATAAAATATATAGTATATAATATATATTCTCATCTCACGCTATTTACCGATATATTTACTGTATGCTCCAGTTTTGTTGGCTTATAATAATTGCTTCAACTATCTATTCAGACCATTTCCAAATACTATATATGAAAAGCCGAAAGGACAAAACAAAACTTACTACATATGTGTATACAAATACAATATGCTCGTCTACTCATAACGACTTTTGTATTTATATTCTCATGCCAAAACGTATCGCACATATGTCGTCTGTGTAATGTCCTGCTGCCTTAATTCCCTCTTAGCTGTGTGGATTTTTTTTTGAATCGGTTCGGTTCGGTTTGTTTTTGTTAGGAAAATTTCCAACTATTGTGGCATTTTTTGTTTTTTGCTTTTACCATTGTTCCCAGCGATAATAAAATCATGATTTAAATCATTTAAGAGTGGGAGAATGAGTGTAAGGAAAGTAGGAAAATTTGTGGGCGTGCTGCATGACATACCGCGATGTCGATGTCGGAGTGGGGAAAACCATTTCCCTACCGGACGCGGCAAATAAATTAATCAACGCTCGACTTTAAAATTCCAAACGATTAGAAAGTACATTTCGAATCTATTTGTTCACATTTCAATCGATAGGAGCTCCTCGTTGGAGCAGCCGTAACATAAAAAAATAATAGTAATCCACTCAACCACCAAACCACTAAAATGAACAGCCCCCAAGGTACATTGTGATAAATACGAACTAAATGTATACCCTGTACGTATTATAAAAGAGAGTATCACAAAGGAGAGCGAGATATTTCCGATTCAATTGAATATGTACATATATTCTTTATCACGTCATCATCCATCAGCTTGTCTATATGAAATCGATATGGAAATATCAACAGGGGGATTTTTAATTTCAATATTATACTTTTTGGATAGCCCCTGCAGGAGACGGGGTGTCACCTAGTCGGGTACTCTCAATTAAAACGCTTTTAATTATTCCTTGAGTATTTTTTTTGGGGACTGGAGACCCTTTGCTCTTATTACCTTTTGTCGCCGTTGCGTCGTTGTTGCAGTTGCTGTTGGAACTGTGCCTTGGTTATGTGCAGACCACCGGCGAGCGATTGTGATTGTGAATCGGGTTTGGAGGAGGCCACAGCAGCAGCAGCCGCGGCAGCTGCCACAGCCGCTGTGGCACGCACTCCATTTTGTCGTGTGGAGACTTTGTTTTCTTTATCGGCTACGGGAATCTTGCTACTGCTCTGGTTATTATTATTAGTGTTGCTATTGTTGTTGTTGTTCGGGTTATTGTTGGCATTGTAGTAGCTGTGTAGGATCATAGGATAGGAGGAGTAGGCATAGACATGGCGTCGCAACATCGACGCCGGCAGCATCTGCAGCTCATGCGGCGGTGGCAAAAAGATGCCCGTGGGCACAGTGGTCTCGAAACGAGGACGGTCCATTTGGCGTGTGGAGAGCCAGGCGCCGCTGTTGTTGATGCCAGCGCTGCTGTGACTGCTGCCACCGCGTCCGTAGTAGTTCTCCTCCGGCGCCAGAAAGCGCAGCTTGTTACTCAGCTCATCGGCAAAGCTGCGGACCTCCTGAGTGCTGCGCGAGAAAAACGAGCGAGTTGTCAATGGTGGATTCGATGTATTCGATGTGCTGCCAGCGGCGGCACGTTGTTCAACATATTCCGATGGTTCACGGATTGTGGGACGCACAATGGCCTGATTAGGCGGCTTGTGCTCGTAGTCCAACTCCACGGAATTGTGTAGCACAGAGAATGCGTTGGTGACTACGTGCTGGAAATTGTAGGGACTCTGATAGCGTTGAACGTTAAAGGATTGCTGGTGCTGGCTGTTGCTGCTGTGGCTGCTCCGTCCTGGTGCATAAGGATAGTTGCTTGAGAAGGAGAAATTCTGTGCACGTTCCTGTTGCTGTTGTTGTTGTTGCTGTTGCTGTTGTTCCTGTCTATTGTTGGGGAAGTGTTCTGGATTTGTGTGCTGCTCGCTGCTGTCGTTCGACTCTGGCATGGTCCGCTTTAACTGCTCTTATAAATAGACTCAAGACTTTCGCACTCCAACAACACTCACGAAAAGTTAATCAATACTTTTTTTTTTCTTTATGTTATGCTGCCCCTTTGTCCTTTTGTTTGTGGTTAAAAGGACAGCAAAGGAGCACGCGTTACCGTAGCGCTCTGTTCGACTGGCGAACGCCAAATGACCGCTGGCAACACTCGGTCCTCGGTCCTTGGTCCTCGGCCCTCGCTCGCAACTCGGCCATCGCATGGTCAGTTGGGTACTCCCGTTCCCCCTCGTCCTCCTCCCGACACTTGAGGGTGTAGTGAGTAGTTAACCACTACAGCCGACTGTTGCCGCACAATTGAAATGCCGCCAAAAAAAAGGCGTTTTTACCTAGAAGCCTTTTTGCATGCCGCATTATGTATTCCGTTATTCGTATACAAGTTTTGCGAAGTCGTGTTTCTAATTAAAAGTGTTTCCTGGCACATCGTCCTTGAAATTGGCAAAACCGCAAACACAACAAGGTGTTTGTGACAAGCGACGCATTTCTTCGAATCCTCCTTCCTCTCGCCATCAGTCCAAAACCTGAGATGACTTCACGCATTTTCCCACTTGACATTGAAATATGGTTGGGTGGCGCTTAGCTGGAATCCTCTGCTGTCCAGCTAATGTCAATGGCCAAGGTCAATTATAAGTTCCGCCTTAAGCAGCTTATTTGGCTGACGTGTGTCGCTGATAAGCGCAATTAATGAAGTAGAGAATAAAACAGTCGAGCAGCTAAGTCTGTTTCTTGGAAATTATCGAGTTGTTGCACATGAAAGGCGCCACCAAAGGTCGTGTAGCTATTGCTATCTTCAAGGGCAATCAACTAGTTGGTACTATTTAAATAACACCACACATCAATATTATAGGAATTTCTTTTGAACGTCAACATATTTCACTTGAAGGCTTATTAGTTCGTTCAGAGTGAGAGAGATATCAAAAAATAATAAATATAATCTATATTAACCAATTGTCCATTCAGGCAATGATAAGTTATAATTGGCATCTCTGAACATATTTGAGCTTGAAAGGGTCGAAGTTTATTACTCAAATTAAACACTTTAACCCAATTTTTTGTGCTTAATATCAGAGAGATAACAATCAACCTACTTTTCTCACAGATACTTATACACTTGCAAATTAGTGCTTCATTTCAATGACCTTTCTATGACCCGTTCACAATTATTGCAACATTCACGTGTCTATTTTTGCATTTAACGACGTTTATAACTTACTAACTGCGTCAAATTCAGTTTTAATCTACGCAGTTCCCGGTCTTACGGCCCTACGAGGGCTTCCATTACCAGTCAAAATAATGTACGCTTGCGTGCTTCTAGGCACCTGCTGCCCATGCCCCCTACAACAGGGTTTAATAATTTATTTACGCAATTTGTGACTGGCTTTCTTCGGGGACAATAACAACTTTCATTTTCTGTTCATCAGCCGGCATGCCGGCCACAAAATTCATTGACCCCTCTCTATAATAGATGTTATGTATATATATTATGGCTATATTTCTGCCGTGAAACACCCACAAAAAATCTGTGCTGCACTTACTTGGGGCAACCTTTGATTTTGATGGGTTTTGGCTGGCTGGCCCACCAGAAGCTCTGTTTGCAGGGTGGTGCGGGGCACGGTTTGTCCTGCCACTTAAGTTGCATCTCCGTAACCTCCGTGCGTGTCCCGACCGTGCTGAGCAGATCCATGCCGGTGCCTTTGCTGCCCACTGGCACTCGCTTTGGAATCGTTGGCATTATTTGTATTGTATTTGTATATCCACACTTATTGTTTATCTATATATAATTTTTAAGCTCTATTTTTATTATAAAGTTGTAGCTAAATATTCACTGTATAAAAAGTCTGTAAACTGACGCATTTTACAAAGCTTTCGACTTGATTTTTATTTGTTTGTATTTGCACTTTCATCAAATTTCTTAAATATATTTTCCGACATTTCTTATGTTTGGCTGCGTCGTATCCAAAATAAACAACAACTGCGGAATTTTTATGGTTACCATGGCTATTTATTGTCGGCATTGTTGCATTGTCAAACTGTTGCCTTGCATGGGTTGGGATTTGCAGATGCTTCAGCAGGTAAGATACTGCGTTTATCCTTGTAATCAGGAGTACGAGGAATGTTAAAAGTAAACGAGACACATCTTATGTGTAATTTTGCATAACATATGCCTATTTCACAGAAATCTGCTTGCTTTTGAGGAAGCAACAACTTATTATTCATATCTACATAAAAATCATTCGTTAATGAGTAACTTTTAAAATAAAATTGCAATTGAGTATTAAATTTGAAAGGCAAGTAACATTAACCGCGCAAAACGAAACAATTGGAAACACTTGAAAATATTTTAATTGCAGTGCGAAATGTTTAGCAACTGCTTTGCTCTCAGCAAAATAATTCTCAGTTTCACAACCATAAACTGCTTGGAATACTGGTAAGTGAAAATAGTAAGAACCGGATGTTAGCACAGTTTCACTCCTATTATGAGAGTTTCACACCTTTAAACTGCTTGGTATTCACATTAAGCAGTGCATGTAGCAGTTTGAAATGCAGTTCACACAACCGATGTAAGCAGTTCATCGCGCCTCAAATAAGCACGCGGTTTGTACGCGTTTTTCGTGCGATTTTTGAGATTCGCGAAGGATATGGTGCATTAGAATCGCAAGGAACAATTCTAGCGAACTGCATTCCAGGATTATGTGATCATCTAATAACCTAAACACTTGTAGAAAATTTTGCTCGCTTTCGAAAAACAAAATTTGAGGCATACCTTTGGGGGCACACAGACGACGAGAAAAAGATTGTATCTTGGCCATTTTCGCGTCGTTAGAATTGCAATCGGACTCGATCGAGAAATATATGCCATGAGTAAAATTCTTTCCATTTTATTACTTAAATGATTTATGTCTATATATCATAATTCATGTTAAACATTTATATTCTGCTTGATCCAGGTAGTCGGGGCATGCACTTAAGTGTAAATGACGGAGCGTCCTTCCTCAAAAGAAGAATCTTAATTGTCTAGGATGTTTTGGATGTGTGCATTTTCTTGAATGATCCTGCAAATATAACATAGGAAACATTTGAGGTACATTCAATATATAATAGTTACTTATAATATGCAATGCGACGGATCTTCAGGATGATGACACTTTAAGTAATTTTAAATAAAAGATACAAAGTATCGGTTTCAAATTTACCACGATATTCATCTCTACCTTATGCTGCAGATACATGCATTGAATGAATTATTCACGGCAATTTAGTGAATCTTTGATAACGCTTCTGCTTTAATCTCGAAAACGCAGCTCATTTCATATTAATTAGATTCCCCTGCCAAAGCGATTTTGTATCGATACATGTTATATTCTCAGACGCTTGTCATTTGACCAGCCCTTGCAATCTGATCTGGAAAGGTATATGGGCAAGAACGTTTTGTTGAAATTACATGGCCTTACTTCATATTGTTTTGCCTATTCATTAACGCTGAGACGCGCTGGAGGGCACTCATTGAGCAATGACTCGCCTGTCAACGATGACGTTTGGCTTTATGCCCAGTCGGAGTCGGGAACGGAGTGGGGGAGGGAGAGGATATCGTCTGATGGGGGTGGGTGATAATTGGTGTGCGCGTGTGTCGCCCTGTTTGCTTCTGGTGTCCTTTTGTTTGTACCCCTTTGTATGTACATACTTAAATTCGTATGACTGCCTAATAAGATCACAGGGAATGGGCCGAGACGGAGCAAACATCAATAAGTGCCATGACGTTTGACATTTAGCAGCAGCTAGTCCCCTTGTCTGGCATTTAAAAGGTTAATGATGCCCACTCGAATGGCCACACAGGCTCAAAGCCTGGCGACGTCGATGACGATGATGACGACGACGACGTCGACGAAGACAACGACGGCGACAAGGCTATTGATAATCTTCGACTGCAATTTCCACAACTTTTGTTGTGTTCGATCATTTGCAGTGATAGGTAGACGGGGCTACCTTTCTGCGAAGGGCCCACAAAATTGTTGTGTGTCCCACTGTGTTTGTTGTCAAACAAATCATTTACAGATCTTTCTGTTCAACGCACATACGCACACACACGCGTAGGTGTGAGCTGCAATTTTCCAAAGAAAATCTAAACACCAACCAATCTCGCACACCCTCTCCCTCTCTCTGTCTCGGACAATTGAAGTCTCGCACTCGAGTTTTGATTAATTTATTGCCCTATCGGGTACGAGTGGAGAGTTCGTGGTCGAGGTGAGGCTGAAATAAACTATCTTGGTACCGTTTCAGCCTCATAAAAAACATTTGTAGATTGTTCGTTTCTGCGGGCCGTTTGCGTTTTTTATGAGTTATTCATATGGCTTGGTGGCGCCATGGCAAATAAATAAAAAATTGGTGTCATAAAAATATCGCAGTAACTGTAAAAATGATTGATTTCTTCTAAAACAATATTTTCAAAACTATCATTTATAAATATTTTCATATTTTAATTAATCAATTTACTTCAGATCTGTACAACTGGTTCTTACTAACAACCCAACTAAGTAACATTGGGTGAAGCTAAGAAGAAACCGCATTAAATTTTATTCTCAATGCATAGGGAAAAAAGTGAATCTCAGTTTGCTAAATGAACTTTACACTTTTTGTTGTTCTATTTCAATTTAGCCAGCAGCTTCTTTTTCTCGGTTTTCGAGTTTTAGTTTGTTTTTTTCTGTGCTAAGGGTGCAGAGTGTGCAAAGGGTAGTTGGACTCAATTATGAGAAAACGGTTCTGGATTCTAAGCTGGGCCCTGCCGCAAACATTCGCATCAATTATGCATACGCCAACGCATTCGGCATTTTGGCACACAGATGCAGTCCAAGCTAGCTAGAGACAGAGATACAGAGAGAGAGCGAGGGAGAGAGTAGGAGCGAGAGAGAGAGGGAGAGGGTAAGGAAGGGACATAGAAACAATGGCCTGCAGCACAAGGGCTGCCTGCTTGTGCATCCTTTTTGTGCTGGCCTAAGCCACAAGTTTACCGCATGGCAAATTCGAC